GGGCGGCCGCCGCCAACCGCCTGCCCTCCCCTCTCAGTCAGGCCGCGACCTGCAGCAGTACCAGAGCCAGGCGAAGCAGCTGTTCCGCAAGCTGAACGAGCAGTCCCCCACGAGGTGCACTCTCGAGGCCGGAGCCATGGCCTTCCAGTGAGTATCCCGAGGCGCCAGCCGGGAGGTGCCCCAAGGTGCTGCTGGGTCTCTGCCAGCTGCAACGTTGTGTGGGTGCTTTAAGAAGGGAGCGTCTAAGTTGTTCCTCGCTGGCAGTGCTTCCTGGCACTCGCTTTTCATCCCCTTTCTTATTATTCTGTGGCCTTGGCTGTAGACTATGTAGGTTGTGTTTCCCTTAAGCCTTCTCTGTGGGTTTGCACCCTCCCATATCGCTTTTTACCCTTCGTGGATTTCCTGTGGCTTCAGTGTCTTTCTCCTCTTAAAAAGAGAAGTCCTTGCTGAAAGCAGGCTAGCACCACCACTGTGAGCTCTTCCTGCACAAGACTCTCCTCTATGCATATCCCACAAGGGTATACCTTTTCATGCCTTAGTTTTACATGTAGAAACGCATACAGCTTCTCTGGCTTTTTTATTTTGTTAATTTCCTTAACATCTGACAAGCTTTCTCCCCCACAAAAATAATGGATTTGATTACATTGTTGCCAAATGTGTTGGTTATGTTTAATCTCCTAAATTACCTGAAAACTTGTAGCTTAAAAACATCTTTGGCTTTTCCCAGTAACACATTAATAAGGGAATTTGAATATAAAATAATGAAAACTTATAGCAAAGGTGGGTCAGACATCCTTAACTGCTAATGAATAGCAAGGGGACTGTGAATGAAAGGTAAAAGAGGAAGAATTTGCAGCCAATGAAAGGAAGAAGAGCAGGCAAGCTCCTATTTGAGAAAATGAAAAGCTTCTTTACAATGGCATGTAATTACTGAACAGATAAATTGCTGGAGGATTTAATCAAGGCCAAGATCTTGTCAAGAATCAGGATTATGCTCTTAGCAGAAATAATTATGCTATAAAAACAAGCCCGTGTGGGATCAGCAAGGCAGAGTTGTGCAAATTTCTTTTGCCAGTGATATGCAAAGCTTCATAACACTTAGCACCACTTCTGCTGCCTCCCCAGCCTCCCCCAGTTCCCCATCCCCGGTGAGCAGGGGCACGTTTGTGGTCGGGTGAGTGGGAGACACCCTTTGAATCCTGGGCAAGGCATGACTTTAGGGCTCTGATTCTCTCACGGGGGCCCTTTAACAGCTCTCCTGCCCTGCCCCTTAAATGTTCAGAGATGCATTGACATGGAAAGACAAGAACAGAAGCTTTTGGAAGGGCTATAGGCCAGCTCTTGGGCAAAAACCATGAGGTTTTGGGGCCAATGTTTCTTATGGTTGACTTACATATGTTCAACTATTATGGTTTTTTTTCCTCCTCCCCTGGCTTCTGGTTGCCCTTGATAATAGGGGCTATAATGGGTCAGGTGGGGCACTGATTCAAATAGTCTGGCCGTTCCTATCTGCTTGTACAGCTTGGACGTTGTTCCCAGAGTTAACTGCAAAATGCTGCTCAGCATCTTCTAGAAATCTGTCAGTTTGTAAGTGTTTCTCTGGCACTGCACCGTGTCTGGTGTCCCTGGGTGTCACTCTGACTGGGGGGGCTTTGGGGAAAGAGCCTTTGTAGTTCGTAGTAAATCCCTTGCTGTGTTGCTTCCCGTGCTACTAGAACAACGTCCAGGAAGGCTGTTCTGGTTGTGCTGCCCAGAAAACCAGAACCTCCTTCCGGTGGCTTTAACCTCACCGGGTCTGAAGAGCCAGGGTAATTTGGGCAGGTTCATGTTTGGACAGCAGGCTCCAAGAAACAACAAGGTTGTATAGCTGGCTGGGAAGGGGGGAAAGGAGCGTCTCCCTACTGCATTGAGTCAATCCACAGGCAACTGAGAGCTGCAAAGCAGTCAAGCGATGGCTCTTTTAAGAGAGAACATTCAGGCAGGACCTATGTGAAAAGACGACGACTTTCAGGTCAGAAAAAGATGTCTCCTGTGATAACGCTACATGAAGGAGAAGAGAGGGAGGAGTTTGAGACCTAGTCTAAAATAATGCTGACTTTTAAATTAGAGCTGTGGCTGCTGAGGACAGCATAACCCAGGACAAAACATTTTGTGATGTAAAACATAAAAGTACAGCTAAGGCTATTGCTGAACTTGCTGAAGTGATGTTGAGCACTTCTAGCTTGATCAATTCAGAGAAAAGTCTCATTTTTTGACAAAATGTGAAGCTCACACTAAGACTGCTGAAGCAAGTTCTCTCAAATGTAATGTTTAGATTTTCAGATCTGAAAGCTGTGCTGTCCTTTGAGCTACAGTACTTAGCACACAGGGCCATGCAGGTGCAGAAGCACCTGTGTAGTAGATTGCTGTGCTGTCAGTCATTAGTTGACCTTTGGCTGGTTAGTGGTGTAAGCGCTACTAACCTGTCATGTTGAAAACAACTCTTGGCCTTTGACTCTGATACCAGTTATAAGGATTAAGCTTTTCTGTTTCAAAAAGGTCTAAAATAAATAAAATAAATCTAGCAGCTAAAATTAGCGTGTGGAAATCTGTAGTATAGAAGTTGTAAGTGGCAAACTGCAATGTCTGCCCCTTGCGTGCGTACATTGCCAAGCAGACTGCGTGATCAGATGTTGTGTTAAAGCTCAGAAGCGTGCACACAGCGTGAAATGGAGAAATCCAACTGTGCAGGAACTTTGTTCTGATGTTGCGCTGAGTACGACAAAACTGTTTCAGTCCAGGACAGAGTGGGGTGTGCTTGCTCTCTGCACTGCTGGCAGATTAACGTTAAATCCAAGACATCTAATATCACACTGGGGAAAAGCAAGTTGGGAAATTCAGCTGAAGAGCTCCAGGCAGGACCAGCTGGCCTGAACAGAGATAACACAGTTATCTCAAGATGAGACCAGACTGCTCTCATCTTGAGCATGCTGCTCTCAGGGAGCGCTAAATCTTTCCGACACAGGGTTTTTTTTGTTTTTTTTTTTTTATTTCAAAAGACCTTTTCAAATATTACTGTTTGTGCCACTGGCTAAATCAAACTCCAAGTGAGGATCTAGGGAAAACCTGAGCTGTTGAAGAGGTCTCTGAAGGTGAGGGAGGATAGGGGCATGAGATGTACTGTAGAACTAATGTTACAGGCTGATGCAGTCCGAGTTGAGGGACATGAAGACGAGATAAAAACATAGGCTTGCACAGATGCCCTTGCGGAATGGATTATAACTGAAGTATCTTGCTTCAGGATGGGGTGCATCCGTTGTTGTTTGAACTGTGGCAAGGTTTGCACCTAGGCCTTAGAGAGAGCCGAAAGGAATAATCCTAAGCCCTGAAACTACGAGTTGAGGATGGTTAATTCAAAGCGTTTGGATTTTGGGGGGTATCTGGAAACACAGTAGGGAGGAGGAGGAAGTTGTTTTATAGGCTTGATGCAGTTATTAGCCAAATTTTTGAAAGCCGCTTAGTTAACTAGTGTGGCCTTCTAACTGGGTCCGTTTTCTAATACACTGTTAATCTGTATGCTAATTGGACTGCCACATAATGGTATTATGCAGAGAGTCAAAGGAAGGTAATATAAAAGTAGCATTTAATTCCTTCCCCCCCGCCCCCTCTCCCCGATAGTAAGTGTAGCCAGGGCTATCTGCCATCTCCACTACCTTGGTTCTGGTAGAAATGCTGTTCTCTCTCTTTTTGTATTGGCCAAATAATGAGGAGCGAAACATAGTAGGGAATGCACAACAGTAGACAGATGTAGTGAAGCCTAAGTAGCTGCTTTTCTGTCTAGCCAGGTCTAAATCTCAAGTTTGGCTCCTCTTTATTGGTTATTTCAGGAGGTCTTTTACTTGAATTACAACGAAAAGCTTCTATTCTCAGTGCTGACAGACGCTGGAACTCGCACTGAAACAAGGTCAGGGCTAAGCCTCTGAAAACAAATAAGAGTTAGATGCAGTAGGGAACGGGGATGGGGAGGAGGGTGAGAACAGGACCTCTGCGCGTTTAGCTGCAGAACAACCCAAACAGCATTAAACAGGTAAGGTACCCAGTCATAGTGTGCACCATGATCATTCTGCATCCTTTAGGGACAGCCCTCTTAATTTGGGGTGGTTGCCAGCTGCCTGTTATGTCAATCTATATATAAAGGTCCTTAAGTATGAGGGGAGATGATGATCCCAGAGGTACCCCAGTGCATAGAAAAAGAGCTTTCAGTTCCTTGTCACCATGCTGAATCAGAGAAATGTATTAAATCATTTTTCCTGTCTGATGCTCCTATGATTCTAGGCATAATACAAGCAATAACAGACCTGAAGCTATGTTCCCTCTATCTCCTCTAAGGAGGAAAGGTTGTGTTTGATAGGATTGGTTCAAAGTGTATTGATTGATGCTCTGTCTGCTGTTCTCCTAGCTACATCATTGAGAAAGGGGTGTGTTACCTGGTCCTGTGTGAAGCTGCATTCCCTAAGAAACTGGCCTTTGCGTATCTGGAGGACTTGTATTCGGAGTTTGATGAACAACACGGCAAGAAGGTGCCAACGGTCTCCAGGCCCTATTCCTTCATTGAATTTGGTGAGGTCCTAGCCTCTCCCTGAGGCTAGTTAGGAAACTTCTTGGGGGTGCAGGAACCAGAGGCCAAAGGATCCTCTCCGGCTTGGCCTATGGACTTGTCACTTCAGCTTCTTTTTGGCGCTACAGAAATGTGTGTTTTGAGCAAGGAATACTTGGGAGTAGAGAAATGGTAGGAAAATGGTACATGTCCTTTGATTCAGTTTTCCTATTTTAAGTCTCTTGGCTTCTCTCCAGTGAATGTTTGTGTGCAGTCTGCTGGCTGTCTCAGCAATGCTCCTACTCCTTTGGCAGCAAGGCTGCTCTATGCGAGGCAAGCATTCTCTCCACGCTACATCCAAAGGAGATGGTGCAGAGCTAACGGGGATTAGTAGGGCTTTTTGGATACAGCACCCTTGATGAAAGGGAGTGGGATGCAAAGTCTGGGGAAACCAATATCCACGAGGGTGCCAGAGAGGGAAGGAGAACTCTGGATCTGTTAGCTTGAGGTGTCCTTGTTCTCCCAGTGGTCGGTACTTCTCAGGTGTGCCCGCAAGAACAGTACCAAGATCGTGTGGTCATAGCCTGGAAGAAGGTTGTTTTGCTGGAGGCAACAAGCCTCCAGCAGCAAGGTCTCTCAGCCGCTATGCCTTGCTGTTAGGCTGAGGTCCCTCTGTGCCGGCCTGGAGGGGCAGGTTCTACAGAACAGGTTAATAAGGAGCCCAAAGGACTATTTTGTGCGGTCTTACTCCAGTTGTTCCCATCTACAGTGAAAGAAGAATTAGGCTAAATCTGAATGGTTTCTCACCCCACACAACCTTTTGTGTCAGTATTTGAGGGTGCGTTTCTGTGAGCATCGTTAACCAGAAACCCTGGAGCTGTTTCGCAGTGCACCCATGATGTCCTCCAGACCACTCACTGGAAGTCCTCTTGGGTCCATGGCAGAGGCTGCCTCAGTGGAAGAGGGCTGGACAAGAGACAGTTCAATTCCTGTGCTTGGCAAAGCGAGCAGTAGGGGGAAATCGAATTTCCCACTGACAGCCACCTCTCGTTCCAGACACCTACATCCAGAAAACCAAGAAGCTCTACATTGACAGCCGGGCGCGGAGGAACCTGGGTTCCATCAACACAGAGCTGCAGGATGTGCAGAGAATTATGGTGGCCAACATCGAGGAAGTCTTGCAGCGAGGGGAGGCGCTCTCAGGTACAGGGAATGGCCTTGTCCCCTCAGTCAGCTGAGCAGGCAGAGCATGCCTGAGGGGAAGGGCTTGCTAATCCCTGAGCCTTCTGAGGAAAGCAATGGACTCAGTGGGTATTTCATTTTAATCAGTTGCATGCTAAAGCAGCTGGCAGGTAGTAGTGTCCGGTTTTGGGAGTGAAACCGGCTGCTCACAGGCTTGGGTGGCTCTCATCCTAGTAGGGCAAGCATTACAGCTCTGCATATAATACAAGGCATGCTGCTGTGTGGAGCTACTGCACTTCCAGCGTCTCCTGAGAAACTGTCAGTTAACGTAACATTTGGGGAACATCTGTTTGTGTTAATCTTGAGACTAACTTCTCTACCCTTTCTCTTTAACAGCTCTCGATTCCAAGGCCAACAACTTGTCCAGTTTGTCCAAGAAGTACCGTCAGGACGCAAAGTATCTGAACATGCGTTCCACTTACGCCAAGCTTGCGGCTGTAGCTGTGTTTTTTATCATGTTGATCGTCTATGTGCGATTCTGGTGGCTGTGAGCTGGTTACAAGTCACTGAAGAGGGAAAGCCTGTAGCCTGGCAGGTGTATGTGTGCAGGACACTGTTCACGGGGATGTGCATTAGAATCCACACAGGGCCATCACCTTTATGGGAATGTCCTGAAAATGTTAGGTGACACCTGACTACCACACCTCTTAGTGAATCCTAACCGTAGGTATAAAGGCTTGTTGACTACAGGCTTCTCCTCTGAGGCAGTTTGCACTAGGGGACTGTAGAGTTTGACCTCCCGAGGTTCTGCACCCCTGCTAGGGGTGAGCTCTGGGAACAGTCAATCAGTACAGTTTAGCAGAATCATGCTGTACGTCCTCCTGTTGAGTAGCTCTAGTGGGAACTGGACTCTAATGAACATTCCTTGTGTTGGCAATGTTTGCTTTTCTAGAATCTGGGTCTGCAGTTGTTGGGTTTTTTCTTTTAAGACAAGACTCCCCTGTTTGAAGGAAGTTCCGCACTGTACATATTATAATAGCTTTCACCTCCGTCGAACTAGCTATTGTTGAGTTTTCCTTGTCTGACATCTTTGCTTGTTACACTTCCAATTACTTGAGGAAGAAATGGATGTTAAATTATGCCTTAAAAATACATTCTGGCTAGTACTAGGAGAGGCAATGAAAGTCTTCTGTATTACCATTTCCTACAAAATTAAACTACAGGTTTGTAAGTGTCCGCTTCCCTCTCCTGGCAGCTGTTTATGAGAGTTTGTTTCCATGTGATTAAGAAGAGGGTGCTTAATTCAAATGCTGTTCGAGCAGGCACAGTGCAGACGTTGTCAGCACTCTTTTCTTCCCTTCTATCTGCGGACTCGCTACGTTTTTTCCTTCCTCTTTGTAACTGTGCTTTCCGAAACACATCAAAACTGCCATCTCTGGGATGCTTGTTTTCTTTCTCCCTCTTCCTTTCACCCAAAGCAACCAAAAAACAAAACTCTGAATGTTGTGAAGAAAAGGAGGTGTCTCCTTAAAGAATGCTTTAACTTTATGTGGAGGATTCAGGAGGATAACAACTTGAAAACAGCAGAATCCTTAGGAAATGCCACCTTTTTTTCCTGTGTTCACCCTTTCCCTACCTCACTTGGGAAGTTCAAACTGTAGCTGAAGGAAAAACTCGTCGTGGGGCAGTAGTATATAGCTTCTTCTATCTCATGGGCCAATCTGTATAGTTCCAGTATAATGTGATTTTTGTCCACCTGTGCTAGGACTAAAATTTTACTAGTCAGCCTTTTTTTTTAAAAGCGAAACTCACAGCTCAGGCCTTTCCACTCTTTTCTGTATTCAAGTATCCGTTTCTGTCACTAGGTGGGAAACGGGCACTGTCACAGAAGGAAGTTTCAGGGCCCCCCCAGCACCTTTTACAAGCACATAATCTTGTGCAATTCTGGAAGTATAAACTGTGACCTGCTGTATATAAAGTATAAAGTGTTTCCTGCTGCTGAGTAGGAAACGGGACGCTCTTTTCCTGGCTGGGAACACTACCCAGCTTGGCTCCTCTTTGGACTAGCAGGGAAGCAGTTAGCACTTGTCCACTGATCAACCTAGCAAATCTGATCTGCCACCTGGTCTCAGATCATCTGATATCTGCATGATGCCTCCATGTGTTACTTTGTAGATTGCTGTATTATTTTTTAATCTTTATAAGTTGTGTCCCTAACAGGTGAATGTCCCAGTGATGTAGGTCTGTGTGTAATGTAGGTCCTGAAAGGTGAGCAGACACCAACCGTACCTGGATTGCCATGACTTGGGGGGAGTGATGCTTCCGCAGTGAACAGCAGCCTGGTGAGCAGCTGCCTGCTGCAGCCCCAGTGTCAGCAGTGAAATAAACGCTTCCAAAAAAAATCCCCTCTGCTGTGTGGTTTCCTCTCATATTTGCATGCTCTCAAAGGATGTTCTCTTTCCTTCCAGGGGTACAAGAGGGTGAAGGCCTTTTGGAAGAGACCCCTAGAGTTGAAGTCAGCTGGGATGATTGCAGGAGCGGATGGTAGACAGCTGTATTAGTTGTTCCCGTGGTCAAGGCCGTGGGGAGAAGTCAGTGCTGGTTTCTTTATGAACTAACCCACAGCTGCGGGAGCCCTTGGGGTCAGTGACGTGGCTCCTTGCCCTTGTGTGCAGCAGGGGCCGCGCAGCGTGCCAGGCCCTGCTAGGCGAGAGCTGCATTGCCTCTCGCTCAGCGGTTGCGGCACTGCATGCGCAGTGCTGGACAAAGACCAGAGGTGCTGCCTGCAGATGGCAGTGCTGGCACGGAGCTGGCGCCTGGTGTAGAGCCATGCCCAGGGCTGAGGAAGCAAAGCGCTCTTCCTGAGGGCACCTCGGCCCTGTTGCACGCTCTGGCCCCCCCCGCACTGCAATCCTGCCACGGATGGGGCCTCGGGTGCACCCCACTGAGCCTGTGGGGATGCATGGCTGAGCGCTCTGTGTGTTGCTGTGCCCGCGAGGGCTCCCGGGCTGTGCCATGAGGGGCTGCGCTGCCAAGCCATGTCCTGTCATGTGGCCGAGCCCCACGGGGCTGTTTTGTGGCAGGGAGTTCTCCCGTCCCCTCCTTGTTACTCCCGCTCCCCACAATCCCCTTGTTCCTGTTTCTGAGTTGCCCCTCTGCATCCCGTGAGCTCTGGTCCTGCCTTTGCTGGGTTTCCCAGGCTGGCCATCACTCCCAGGGTCAAGGCTGGAGGCAGGCTTCCCGTGTCGGACGTGCTGGGGTATCTGCCCCGTGGGGACCTTGAACACCCTGAGGGTAGGGCCTGCCCTTGGGGCTACAGGGCCAGTGCCTGGGGTTCCCGGTCACCCCCAGGCTCCCGAATCCCACCAGGATCTCTGCTGTGCCAGGACACAGCCCTGTGCTCTCCATGCCACGCACCTGGGAATGCCTTTCTGTGTCCAGGCACCCACTGTGCTCAATGCCTGGTGTGCCAAATAGTCCCCATCAGCCTGTATCAGTTGCCTGCCCCGACTGCTGCCCCGGCCGTCTCCTCCAGGCTTAACCAGCTGGGCGCTTCCCTTCGAGACCGCTGCCGCCCGCGGCGCCGGCTGAGCAGCCCCTGTCCATCCTCCCCAGCAGCGCTTCTCCACTAGCCGTTCTTTCTGGGGATGCACCGGCTAGCTGCTGTGGCCGTTCCTGGGCAGGAGTGTTGCCCGAGGGGTACGTCCCCTACCAGATTGCCCCCAGGTGGATGGTACGAGACTGCTCCGCGGCGAAGCCTTCTCCAGCACGGCCTCGGCCACCCTCTCGGGCTGCCTTCCTGCTGGAGCACGGGTGCTGCCGGTGCCAGCCTGCTCCTGCCCCTCGCCCTGTGCTGGGCTCCCCCCGGCTGCTCTTCCCCACCCCTCCTGACCCTCCTCGCTGCATTCACTCTTCCCCGTGAATACCTGGAGATGCCGAACAGGGCAAGACCCGCACCTCTCCCCGGCCCCGAGGCATGTCCTGTGCCAGCGCCCGCGGGCATCAGCTCTGCTCTGCCGCCGAGCGTTGGCCCTGCGTTGCCTTCCCCGGCTTCTTCTCCCCGCGGGGGGCTGCGCTGCGAAACCCACGGCACCGGGACAAGTGAGGAGCGGCAGGGGGCAACAGAAAGCGGGCTGGTGTGGGGTGCCCTAGGAGCTGCTCTGCCCCTCTCGCGAGCACGGAGGTAAAGCGGCCTTGTCCCAGGAGTGATTTGTTAGAAAAGCTGCTGGCTGTTGGGTGCATGTGGTGCTACTGCTGCTCAGCTCTGGTCTGGGCTCCTCGGGTGTCGCTGTGTCCAAAGGGACCGTGGGTGCTACCGCTGGGCGGCCTGTGCCAGAGGGACCGTGCGTGGCCGTGCGTGACCCAGCCTGCTGCAGGGGGGGCGAGGGGGGGTTATGCCACCGTGCACGCCAGCAGCCCGTGGCAAGGACCTTATTTTTTCTCGACTGTCGGTAACTCAAGCAGCGAGAGCAGACAGGCAGAGCTGGTTCCCGGACGCTGCCGAACCTGCTGTGGGTGGGGTGCC